TTTCTTCCAGTATTTGAGGCCTTTGGTCAAGAGATTTCTATCGCGGCTTGAATATTCGGCCAAAAACGTAAGGAGACAAACCCCGCCCATTAACAAATGGTGGCCGAGGTTGTGGGCAACTGAGTTTGACCAATACGCTTGCCCGAGATCCTGCCCAGCCTCAAAGGCATTTCTCTGCCCTGATGAAGAGGATGACTTAGTCATTCTTCGAATCGGCTGGGAAAGATGGTTCAACGACGTGACTGGAGCCGGCATCTTCGTTCCTACACTTGCTACAGTAGATGACGCGGTAGAGTATGGCAGATCTTGGTTCGGCGCATTGCCTGAGGAAAACGGAAACAACGCCGACAACGCCAACCCTCCTGCGAGGTTACCAGTCGCCTGGGAGAACAATTTTAGGGCGCGGCCGACTCGCAGTTCTCAGTCTGTTTCAAGACGGATTAGCATGTGTCGGGACCATCGCCTTATTGTTCCCGTATTGCGACATGCCACCGGCGCAGCCCCGGTGGCACGCGAACTATCACAAATGGATCTGGATCTCAAAGCGATCAGCGGGCCTAAGGCCGCGTTGATACTTGATGGATATTTCAATATTGACCACTCTGAGGGACACGTATACTCTCACCATGATGACCCTTTGATCAAAATAACATTGTTCGGGAGAGAGGTTCGAGAAATTGCTGCCCATTATATAATAGATCACACGGGGTTCAATCCTACCACCCCCGGCAGGGTTACCCTGGCCGGCACGGCAGAATACTTGATCCCGGAGATCATCCAGACTATAGTACATGACACTTGGTTAGTACCAGTACAGCAACAACTGGGCCTTCGGCCCATAAGGATTTTCGCACTTGTTTGTGAGATAATCAGCTATTTTATGTCAGAAAATCACTTTATCGGCTACCCGGGGCGAATCATTCGTCCCGATATGGTATGCACAAACGAAGTTGATTCAAAGAAACGGACCGACGAATATGCCTTGGACTGCCGAATTCGAGCGGCTGTTAAGACAGACGACATTCTAGAAAGGTGGGCCCACAAGATGGGCAGGAGAGTACAGAACGACGTCGGTTGCCACGGTGCTCTAATACAGGACGCCATTTATTGGTTACATGATAAGTATCCTGACTCTGGTGCCGATCTCCAGGACAAAGAAGACGGACCCTTCCGCACTGCGTGCGGATTACATGGTGCCGCTGCAGCAACTGCTGCCAGAAGTATAATACAATGTATTAGCGATCGTAGGAATAATGATCCTGAGCACGACGGCGAAGCCGAAATCGTGGGGCCACATGCGCCCGCTGGACCAAAGGCCAGACCTTTGTCGCGCCCGCCGCCTCTTCGACCTGGCATCTCAGACGCTCAGGTATCCGAAGAAGTTACTGGATCCCCCCGTTCAGTCGCCGGCTCAGCCGCGACGACCAGGGAGACACGCCCACAACATCCCAACTTGGGGGATCGGGCGGAATCACGCGCGCGCGATGCTGCCATGGATGCTGCCGCTAGCTCTCACATGGATGCTGCCGCCGGCGCTGCCATGGACGCTGCCGCAGGGGCAGCCGCGGACGCTGCCGGCAGCGACGCAGGCCACAGCTACGAGTACGACCCTGGCAGGTCCTACCCGCGTTACGTGAACGGAACCCTCGTCGGGTACTGCATCCACCGTAACGGGGCCACGTGGCTTACCAACGAGGAGTGGTATACTCTGAGCTACTGGCACCAGCTATCAACATGGGAGCATGACCACCACTTCCCGCCGAGAGGGACGGCACCGATGAGCGATACTGACAGAGAAAGAGGGCGGTCTCGCACGCCTCGTGGCATGGGCGCACAGACGGGAGGATCGGCGACTTCAAATCCGCCGCCTCCGGCACCGCCCAGGCGAGAGACCGAGTGCAATCCGCGGGGGGGGGCCTGAACTCAGTTTCGCCCGCGTGACTCCGTCGCGGCAGGCGCGTGCAAAACAATTTACCCACGCGCGAAGCGTGTTGGGCGCGGACATCTCCACAGGTCGGCTAAGCCGGTCCAGCGGAGAGAAAATTCTTATCACAATGGTGGGAAACGTCGAGCCTCTTCGGCCCTCGGCCCCCTGGCAGCCACCGTTGAGCCGTAAAAGCTTTTTCGGGTTGGCTCCGGTGGTTGTGCAAATGTACAGGCCGGGGGTGCTGTGGCTGGATGAGCTCTACGCGGCCCGCCGCGGGGGGGGTAAATATGCTCCTCTCCGCCTCGTATTCAATTAGAACTTAACTTAGTTTGCATGCGTTGCACTGTCCGCTGGAACTGACGCTGCGTCTCCGCAGCTGCATGACTGCTCGAGCCAGCCGACCTCGGCTGGCAGGAGAGAAAAGGAGTGCGCTGGGGCGCGCGGGCGGCTCGTCGTCGTCCGTCCTCGGCCGACCGCCTCCCTTCATATTCCTGATCGAGTAGTCTTGCTTAGCGGATACTTGTCTTATCAATGTCTCATCCCGTCCCTTCTCTCCCTGAGCAGAGTGAACATGAGATCTTAATTATTTTGTCATCTTACCCCGATTCTCAGAGGAAAGACTAAGCTGCCATACTTTTTCAGGTTTATGAGAGCCCCAGATCTGCGAGACCTGTCGCCATGTTTGCGGGCCGCTGCGGGGCCCAGCGGAGGTGTGTCCTGCGCGGATCACAACGAGACCTCGCCGTCCTCATGGGGGGCTGCGATCTGCGAAATTGCCACCACTTCGTAAGCTTCTGGGAGGCCCAGCGGAGGCGCGTCACGCGCGGATCACCGCGAGACCTCGCCGTCCCCAGAGGGGGCTGCGACCTGCGAAACTGTCGCCATTTTCGTTGGCCTCTGGGAGGCCCAGCGGAGGTGCGTCCAACGCGGATCACCGCGAGACTTCGCCGCCCTTTGGGGGGCTGCGATCTGCGAGACTGTCGCCACTTTCGCGGGCTTCTTGGAGGCCCAGCGGAGGTGCGTCCAAAGCGGATCGCCATGGGACCTCGCCGCCCCCTGGGGGGCTGCGATCGGCGGAAGTGTCAACACTTTCGCGGACTACTGGGAGACCCAGCGGAAGTGCGTCCTACGCGGATCACAACGAGACCTCGTCGTTTCTTGTGGGGGCTGCGATCTGCGTAACTCTCGCCGCTGTCGCGGGCTGCCGGGGGGCCCAGCTGAGGTGTGTCACGCGCGGATCACCACGAGACCTCGCCGTCTCTGGTGGGCTGCGATCTGCCAGACTATCGCCACTTTCGCGGGCTTCTGGGAGGCCCAGCGGGGGTGCGTCACGCGCGGATCACCGCGAGACTTTGCCGCTTTTTGTGGGGCTGCGATCTGCGCAATCGTCGCCACTTTCGCGGGATTCTGGTGGGCCCAGCGGAGGTACGTCCTACGCGGATCATCATGAGACGTCGCCGTCCGACGGGGGGCTGGCCCAGCAGAGGTGCGTCATGTTCGGAGCACTGCCAGACCTCGACGCGCCCTGGGGGGGCTGCGATGGGCCTCTGGAAGGGCCGACGGAGTGGAGCGGCGCGTGCGAGCGCCGCGCTGCGAATAGCGCATGGCGCCGCTCGTTGCCCATGCCGCGTTCCTTCTTCAGCTTCCTGTTGCTTGCAATGCATGCGGGCACGTGCGACGTTTAGCGCGTGGCGCTGTGCAGTCATAGCGCGCAGAGCGCTGTCCCACGATGCGAACGCAGCGCAAGGCGCTGCTACTCCCGCGGTTTATGTTCCAATCGTCCCTCTTCCACATGTTTCCACGCCCCCTCGTGGTTGCCCTCCTGCCAACGACTTGACTCCTTAAGGGTGATGCCGCACACGAGAAACATTTGACTCTGGCCCGACGTTTTTTTGGCGAAACGTTCAAAAGCACCGTGGATAATTCAACGATTGTTTTTGTACTGAGCGATCCGAAGCGTATTCGCCACATGCTTAGAAGGGTTGGGCACGTCCCCGGTTTACTTTTTCGACGAGACCTCTTGCCCGCGTTTCGTTTGCATCCTTGCGCCCGCCGCTCTGGGCGCGTGGTTCGAGTAATGTTTCCCCTCAAGAGATGTGGTGGCTGGATCTGATCGCGGAGCGCAGCTTGCGTTTCGGCTGTCAGGAATGGAGCGCCTGTTGCCGCAATGTCATCGGCCAGCGCGAGGAGACATATCCTGAATAGTGCGTTTTTTTTCACAGAGACCCCTTACGCCAGGAAAAGGTAGGGTTGAAGGTAAGGCACATCATCTGCGGGGCGCGTCCTTGACGTTCGCTCCAGTCTTTGACTTGTTAGCACCCAATCGCCCGCCGAAAAGACATATCCTGCATACTTGTTCTTCCCGAAGATACCCCCTGAACCAGGGGAAACCGAATCGGATGCATCACATTGGTCGGGCTCTTTTGCAGGTGATGTAGATCACCTGACCAAGAAACGCGTTTCACATCTGTGCAAATTTCCATGTCCGATCTCACCGATGATGTGTTATTGGCAATTGGGCGCGCTGTTACACATTACTCACGACTTGCTGTTCTCGTTCGACCCCGCCTCGTTTGATTCGCATTCCGCTCTTCCCTGATGCGTTCTTTCATTTCAATAGGGCAGGGGCCTCTTACATGATAGGCTTTTCTAAAGCACGCCTTCATGTTCCAAGACGTCTCCTGAAACACATCATCCAATCCCTTATCACAGACACTTCGCCTCATCTCAGGGCCAACCCCCTCGCCCTGCCCCCCTTTTTTTCGCGCCCCCATCATGCAATACTTTGTCGCGTTTATCCAGCTTCAGTTTTGATTATGTGGTGTCACGTCACGTTCGGTCCGCTCATCCTCCAAACGGCGGCGAGACGTGGAGGAGGACGACGGCAAGGACGACGATTCCGATTGCGACGACGAGGACGAGGACAAGGTTGTCATGACATATCGTTAAGGTGTGTCGCGCTGCATGGTCAGTCGTTTCTGTAATGTTTGCGAGTCCATTTGCGTACGAGCGGTGTTGGAACGTGCCGTATCAGTCCTCACGCTTTTCCGTGCCCCCCAATAATCGGATTGAGGTGTTGGCCGCCCTGACACAGTTGGGTTGCCTCAAGGGTGTGAAGAAAGAGAGCGACGAGAAGCAGGCCATTCCGCTTAGTCCTCATTGTTTCAGCTTTCTGACCCCCTGGTGCCTTTGGCGTTTTTTATACGAAGTCATCTCCATTTCTCCCCGCGGCCGTCTGTTGGATTTCGCCGCCACCACTCGCTTCCTCGTTCTCCTGAAAATTGTCCTGCTGATCCTCCTCTTAGAATCCTGGAGGTTTCCAGACATGTTCATACACTTGTGTCCAGAGGCCTCCTGATGCTTTGGGGGGACCTTCGGAGCGACCTCGGAGACCTCCGTCACCCTCTCCGCGTCAGATTCCTCCCGTTCCTGCCGTGCACCTTGCGCCCTCCCTCCTGCTTCCCGCCCCTGACTCCTTCCTCGTTTGCCCCCCCTGGCTGAGCCCCTCAGAGACTGAACGAAGTCCAGAGCTTGATGACGCTCGGGCGCGCCACCGCCAAGGGGTCGCCCCCCCGATGGGTTCCCTGTGGCGGCGGTCTCGCTCTCTCCTCTCTGACCAAGCGGAACCAGGTCGCCCCCGAGGAACGCGAGGAGAAGTCGCACGTAGCGCTTCGCGCTCCAGTCCGGAGAGCTGCCGCTCTCCAAGCAGAGGCCGGGCGCGCGGCGCGAGGCGCGCAGTCGTCTTGTCGATTCGGCCGGCACGACCACTTCGTTCGTGTCGGGCCTCTATTTTGGCGCTGGATTTCGTCCTGGGTATTCTGTTGACGCTCCGGGATCGATGATCCTCAGGGCGTGCGTCAGCTCAATGTGAGTGTGTGTGGTACCCTGTTCCGCAGCCTGTGGCGGCCCCCGTCCAGCCATGGAGCTGGAGTGGAGGGCTTGCCGAGGCGCAAGGATGGGCGTATTGGGGATCAGAGATCTCGATGCAGGAGCTTGAGCTGTCAGCATTACCGGATTCTGCCACGCGGCACGCGCCGATGCTGCCATCGTCGCTCATATATCGTGTGTTTCTCGTGGGGCACTCTGGGGCCCGCCATGCGACCGCAGGGGAGGAGCAGGAGGAGGATGAGGTCCTCCTTCGCGCCAGATTTTATGACGGCCTCCCGCAGACCTGGGGGGGAAGCATCCAGAGTGTGCTGGTATGGCAGGTTCGCGCCGCGTCGACGCGGTGCGGTGGCGACGCGTGCGCGGGCGTTCAAGAGTGAACGCCCTCTATGGGCCGTCCCTTCGGGGACCACAGCAAACAGCCCGCGTCGCGAAATCCGTACGAAAGGCGGGTTCGACAAATGCGGGGGCTTCACAGACCACCTGCTCAGCTTCTTCGCTTGCCACGTGGGTTGTCGAACACGTGCGATCCACTCCAGCCTGAGGACCGGCCGTCATGAGGCTCGGCCCCTGAGCCTCCTCGTATAGAGGAAGTGGAGGAAGAGTGTTGGGATGGATGGAAAAGAGGGTCGGGCGTCGATAACGGGGAGGAAGACGAGAAAGAGGGCCAGGTGTCTCTGCAATGAGATGCACCAGGGCCAGGCGTTTACAGCAAGAGGATGATAAGGGGGGAGGCCTTCCCATCCTCTTTCTACCCTTCATCCTCCTCCTCCTCCTCCTCCTCCAAGGCTCGACCAGGAGGAACTCCCCGTTCCCTGCTCCCTCCTCGGGGGCCAGGGCTCTTCCTCTCCTGCGTGTGCGCGCGGACATGATCCTTTTGGCCCCCCATGGCGCTCCGCGCGAGCGCCGCCCCCCGCCCCCGTCCCGGAGGACAAGAAGCAAGTCGAGGTGGCTACCCGCCAGTGCGCCTACGACAAGTTCCTGAGGCGGGGCGACGAGGACCCTGGACGTCAGACGAGGAGAAGATATGGATACTGCTGCTCGTCCTGGAGAACTCTGGTGGCCACGGCTGAATGATCCCTCTCGATGTTTGTTGGGCCCTCCGCTGGGTAGCCAACAGCAGGGGAGTCCTCCCCCGTCGCCGCCGTCGGGGCCGTCGACGACGCGACTGGCAGACGGCCGCGACGGAGGTGGCAACGACGACGAGGGCGGTATTAGGGAGTCCCCATTTTTGTAGAATCATAGCATCGGTCTGTAGATCCAGGGCTCCGTGGAGCCAATTTCCTATCGGCCCCAGGGTCTGGATGCTTATTTGTTGATGCGCTCCAGCAAAATTGAATCATTTGTTTTCACACATGCGAAACCAGACCCTGACCAGAGAGAAGTGAGACCCACGAATTGCTACACATCCGAAATGGAGTCCATGCGGATCTACTTGATGTTTCTGCGCGAGGAAATTTATTTGGCCTGGGCATGTAATGCCCATTTCACAGGCGTGAGCAATCGACAATGGAACCTCATTCTGCCTCCAGGCCACGGCTGGATTGCGCTGTGTTAGCACCGAACATTGTCCAGGACGTTCCGTTCACGTTCCGGACGTTCCGGGCAAAACGGCTGTTCCGGACAATTGTAGGGTTGCTGTCTTGGGAGGCGTGCGAGCGACCTCGGCCTGGGGCCCCTGGGAGCCCGCAGCGACCCAGAAAGTTGCGATTCGGGGCCCGCTGGCGCCGTGTCCCCAGAAATCGACGTACCTGGGCGGAGGTGGGAACGGAGCAGGAGTAGGGGGAGGAGGAGGTGGAGGAGGAGAAAGAAGAGGAGGCTTATTGGAGGCTGGAGAGGGAGCCCTATTAGGGGCCAGCGGCGCCCGAAGCGCCTCGATCTTCGGAGCCCCAGACTTCCTCGCGCCGTTACAAAGATCCGACGGGAGGTTTTTGGCAGCTTGCGGCCTCAGGAGGGGGGGCCTTTGCTGGGCCCCACGACCGCTAGAATTATCTTGGCGAAGGACCCAGCCATATGCAGTTGTGAATGCCGTCGGTGCGGTCATCGCCTTCGAGGAATCTCCTCATGGGTCCATGCACCATGCGAAGGGTGTACCAGTATGGGGTTGGGCCGCCATGTGGGCATTGCCGCTGGGGCTTCAGGTGGAACCTACTATGAGACCGCGAAGCGTGTGAGGGGTGCACCGCAATGGGGCGCGGTCGCCATTCGGACCTTCGGTAGAGCTCCCTATGGGTCCGCAACACGCTGCAGTACGGAGTGGGGGAACCGCATGCGAACACCGCCATTGGGGCCTTCGGTGGAGTCCCTATTGGGTCACGAAGCGCTGTACTGGGTGGGGGAGACGCATGCGCACGCCGCCTCTGGGATCTTCGGTGGAGCTCTCAATGGGGCCAACGAAACGCTGTACTGGGCGGGGGAACCGCATGCGAACACCGCCAGTGAGGCCTTCAGTGGAGCTCCCGATGAGGCCACGAAGCGTGTAAGGGGTGTGCCAACATGGTTGACTGGTGCGGAGGGCAGAGGACACGTCTAGGAGGAGGAAGGAGGGGGAGGAGGGCGGGAGGCGAAGTCGCGGGGCGTTGTCTCTTCAAAACGAAGACCCAACACCACAGGATGGCTGGGACAAAGCCACCTGGGACGAGACGCAGACCCCCGGGGGGGACGGGTGTTCTGGACCTCCCAGGGGCCCACGTTGTGAAAACACCACGGCGTCTATGCAGGCCCCTCCCGGGGCGCCCCCTGGCCGACCGCGGCCGCGAGGACCGAAAGGGCGAGTTGCTGGCTGAGTTTCGACAAGGCGGGCGCCCGCGTCGGGCCGGGCCGGCCCAGGGTGGGCCAGAAGAGAGGAGCCAGGAGCGAGGAGGAGGAGGCAGGAGAAGTGGGAACGGAGAGGGGCGGGGGGGGGGCATGCAAGGTGAATTCGCGTCATGTCTGTCACCCTTCCCCTCCCACACCCCACACCCATTCTTTCCCATTGCGCTGTTTTTCTCTATCCGCCGACGCGTTACAGCGGACCTGGAACTGATGCCCCTATCGTGTTATGCGGAGTCGGAGAAAATGGGAGCCGCGTGCATCGGAGGTAGAGGTGGCGGATGAGCAGGAGGATGAGCATGAGGAAGAGGAGGAGTATGAGGAAGCAGGCGGACGAGGACGAACAGCAGCAGCAGGAGTTGGAGTTGGAGTTGAAGGAGAGGGAGGAGCAGGAGGACTGGGAGAAGGCGGGGGAAGGGGGCATGAGATTGTTGACAGCGATAACAACGAACTCGGATCCAGTAAAGGTGGTCCGCGCCATGCTGAACGACGGGAGCACAGCGCCGATCCGAAAATGAGGCCTACGCTACAGAGGGATCACCACTTTGAAACACCGAAACATTGGGATAGTTACAAGCCGTACGAAAAGCAACTGTTTGACATCTTGTGAGAACAGCAGTACGCGGAGAGAGCCGAATATCTTCTGGACAGGATCAGGGGAGAGGGGAGAGTAGGATCCATAACGTGTAATTGCGCAGTGAAGGGTGGTGTCCCCCTCATCTCCTGCATCTTGACCTCACTCCTCCTTTCTCCCTTCTGAGGAGTACTTCGGAGGAGGGCCTCCTCCCTCCTCCCCTTCCCCCCTTCTCCTCCCTCCTTCTCTGCTTGCTCTATCGCATGATGCCTTCCCTTCCCTCCTCACGCTCGCCCGTGCGCGCGGGGAGAGGAGGAGGAGGAGGAGGAGGAGGAGGAGGAGGAGGAGGAGGAGGAGAAAATGGAGGATGTGGAGAAAAAGGAGGAGGAGGAGAAAAAGGAGGAGGAGGAGAAAAAGGAGGAGGAGCAGGTGGAAGAGGGGGAGAAGGAGGAGGAGGAGCAGCAGGAAGGGGGAGGAGAAGGAAGGCAAGAGTAGACACAGGATGCATCGAGGATGTTGCAACACGGCCGGGAACGTTTGCTTAATGTGTCGCGCCGCCAGCTATGGCCCACATGAGTCGGCGCGAAATGCTAACCACATCCCAATCCCCAGTCGTGAACGTCCCGAGCTTTTCCCAGACCCCGGTTCCGCGAGGCGAGGCGACATTCCATCTGCTTGCAAGGCATAGCGTCTCGCTAACGCCGCCGACGCGACACGCAACTGCAAGCAGAAGTTTCTGACCGCAACTCCCTTCAAGAGTTATTTTCGCACTGCCAGAAGGGCCCCCTTGAAAGGCGAGGATCCCACGCGCGTCTGCCATTCATGCGGGAGCCCCGATGTGGGGAGGAGCCGCCTTAAATCTTACGAGCGAGGAAATGAGGACAGGTAGAACCGCACAGTTCAACGAGATGTCCAGCGGGAACACGGTTTCAAACATGAGCCGACCGCATCCGTGCAATTAGTGCGGTTCATTCGGATCAGCGTTCAGGCCACGAATTTTGAGTTCTCGAGCACGAGGCCCATTTCGGACATCGACCGTCTTCGATCCGTGCAGTTGTTGCATCCGATCTTGCTTCTGGCCGTTCATGTGGTGGAAGTCCCAAGCGAGTGCCCCATTCCGAAAATGAGGCGTCCTCCATATTTGTAAGGGCGACGGGATTCTAGAGCGAATGTGCGCGGCGCTAAGGCGGGAGCATCATTCTGAAAATACGGTGCCCTCCAGATCTGCAGGAGTTGCACGGGTTCAAGACTGCTAAGCGAGACGCTGCGGCGAGAGCCCCAGCTGGGCAACGTGCCGCTGGTCTGGGGTTGTGCTGTCGCCCTGCACGGCCTCGAACTCCAACTCCCCCTCGTTCGCCTGAGCGCAGCTTTTGTCGAAGG